TAAAGTTCCAGGGTGCCCCCCCCTTGATGGCGGGGGGGGGGGGAAATAACCCTAGTGCTGAAGTCCCTCACAATTCGTTTGAAGAAGTCAGTCTGGGAATCAGATTTCTCCGTGCTCACTACTGCAAATCAGGCAGAACAAGAAAGCAGATGTGTAGCTGTTACGCGGTTAGTAAAAATGGCACAGTATATTGTCATAGGTTAAACCATTTAATTACCAGGAAGCACTTCTTCAGCTTTATTCATAGAGGTAGTAGACAATACAGAAGAAACCAAACCATCCTGAATCCCGCAAAAGGTAGCTACTGCAAATTCAGTTAAGTTCTTCCTAAACCTTAATCTGCATTGAAATAAGCCCTAGAAAGAACTGAAAATCAGGAAGAAAGTAGCTATATAAACATCACTACACTACACAAGCGTTTTCGTATCAGAGCAAACTACATTAGACCTGCAAAGGAAAAGAAAGTGTGAGACCCATTATAAGAAATTCTAAAATGTCTTTGGTTTTTTTCTTTTCAAAACATTAGTAGTAACAAGGTCACAAATTTGTAATGCATACCTATATATGGTAAATAAGCATTAACTGCTTACGAACTGTACTGGTGATGGTATTTAGGCCCTCTTTTTTTGCAAAGAAAAGAAACAACAAGCATAAGGGTAATGACCACTCGGTATTTTGACCCTGTTAGGAAACTCATTGACAGAAGTCACAAATTCTTTCCTCAGCAAAATATTACAGCTGGTTTAGCTCTTCCTTTTTATGACTAAACTCTGTATGTATTCTAGACTTTCATGTAGCTTTCCAAGTGGCAATACAATGGTCAAATAATATTGAATTTGAAACAATCACACAAAGAGACTTTATTCCAGAGAAACAGGGTGTTGTTACATGTGTGCATGAAATAACTATGCTTCAAGATTCAGTTTCTGACTCTCTTCACAAAACATTTTCCTCTTAATACAAAAAAATATTTATTTATACAAAACCCCCAACAAGCATCATAATACACAGTGCCAGCATTTGACGCAAGGACCTTAGATGTCAAATCAGGTTTTCAGAGCAGTTTAAGGCAAACATTGGCTTACCACTTTTGATTGCATATAGTTTCTTGTATAAATTCAACCTTTTACATCTCTGTCCTTTCAAAACTCATACTTTTAAATCGTTCTTCTAGCACATCAGAATCTTCATCACTGTCTGTATCACTGAAGTTTGTATTAAAATCCAGCTCATTCTCCAACTCACTGCTCTCTTGGCCATTTTTAGTAGTCACACTCTCAGTTCTGTCTTGTCCTTTATCAATGCTGCAGAAAGCAAGAGTATGTTATCACCACTCACTTTTGGAATTTATTTTTCTTTTAAACAAGTATGGGATGGAAGGTAGAATATTCTACTGAGGATGGAAGGGGGTGGGAGGTGGGGAGGAGGAGGAGAGGGACAATAACCTAAAGTTACTTTCACGTTGAACAGGAAAGATATAAAAGATAGTAAAGGAAAAAGAGTCTGCAAATTAAAAATATGTATATATGAACAGTTTGACCAACTAACCAACTCCTGGCCGGTTGTCACAAACTAGTAAATTAATACGGGATGCTCAACAAAGAGAGAACTCTTGCAAAAAAATAAAAAAAACCAAAAGCCTGCTAAATATATTGCTGTGACTGTGTTTAATATCAGCCCTTGTTTAGTTTTTCTGTTCACTAGTAATTGAATCACCAAATGACAGACAAAATGCAAATTGGCTTACACACATTTTTTGATGCTGTATACCAAAAGCCATTTTGAAGTGCTTTGTTCCTAAGGAAGATAAGCAGTTTACCCTTTGGTATTGACATCAACAGGCATTTCACCCTTAATTTCAGCAGACGAAAGTGAGGGTAATGACACCTACTGATTCCTGTCAGGATTATTCAGACTATGGCACAGTGTCCAAAAGCTTCTTGGCAGTTTCCAAACAAGCTTTATTAAAAGCAGAAGAAACACTGCAGTACTGAAAATATGTAACCTATGAGCTACTTACGGAATTACTATTTCTTCCTCTTTTCCACATTTAGCACAAACTTCTAGTTTAGCAGCACACGGTCGACAAATAATATGGTAAGGATCTTTTACAGTCTTCTGGAGGCACTTCACACTGTGAAGAGAAAGACATCATGATTAAAAAAATGTTTGTGGACACTTACTAAACATTCTGTGTTCAATGACAATATAGACACATTCTTCCAAAGAGAAGCAACATGTTATAGACTAGTTTCACATGAAACAAATGGTGTTTTAAGAATCAGCACTATCAAAATCACTGCCAGTCTTCCCTCTCCTTTAACTTTTTCAGCAAGAATTATTAAAATAAGAACTGAAAAAGAAACATAAAATCAAGAATTTTTACATTTAAAGGCACAGAAGCAACATTTCTATTCATTTCAGTAAGTAGTTTTACTTTAAAAGCTACATAAATTCTTCTTCTGGTTTTAACAATAAAAGAAAGTAAGAATATGGTATGAAAAGGGGCATGCATTTTACAAATAAAAAGCTTTCCATTCAAATACTACGGTGTCTTCCTCTTGCACTTCTCAGAGTATAAACAAAGCCAGTACTGGACTTCGCCTTCTGTGAACACAAGCCTGCATGGAATTGTATTCTGAACAAATCCAACCTAGTTAGAGGGTTTTGGCTATTTCTAAAATGACACAGCTTAACATTTGGCTGACATGTGTAAAGCCTTGTATTTTTGGAGAAGAGAACCCAGAACTATACATCCCACGTAATGCAGCTGTCCTAAAAGACACACTTTCTTGGTTCCTCAGGCACTCAAAAGATTTAGCATACAGTTCTGAACAGTGGATTTGCAGATTTGGCTAAAACAGGCTGAAGAAAAATACCAAGTGCCTTTGCATGCCTTACAAGGAGAGATGCACTAACTAGCATCTAGTGAAACAGTATTTTTACACACTTTCTCAAACCACTATTGTCTCCTCCCTACTATCTTCACGTAGGCTCTGCTAAGCTTTCATTTTTATGATGTGCACATCCAATTTCTTAAGAAGCTGTAAAATCGCAAGAATTGTTGTGAGACACATTTGACAAAAGCAAGGTTTGAACTGCCTAGTGTTTCTGGTCTTCCCTTCTCTCACAGGAAAAACCTACAGTTAGATGTCACTGGAAATACCTGTTCAGTTTGGAGGGTTTTTTTCTTTCTTCTGTGTTGAGTTTCATTAGTATTAAAAAATGTCTACAGCTCTTCCAGTACATGTCATACCAAACAGGGGCGCTATCAATGCAAGGTGGATATAGGATACACTTTTTTTCTTTAAATAGTTTAATTTTTAATAATTAAATATTTGAAATAAAAGTAAAGTAGGGATAACATGGTTGTACTAACAATCATAATTTTGAAGATGTTAAAAAACTAAAAACAAGCTGAGGTACAGAGAGGTCCTCTGTTCCCATCATCTGTGATGTGAAGAGTTCCCTTTTTTTTTCCATAGTCACATTTTTAATGTCTATAGCGTGTTTATTCCACCTAGAAGCTTCACCCATTGAAAATCTTCATAATCTTGCCCTTTCAGAACAATGAACCACTCAGCCATTCTTGCTGCTGTATGCTGGGCTAGAAACCACCACCTGTAGAGCTAGAACGGTCTGCAGCTCAATTTATTCATTCAAAAATATGACAGAAAACATCACATATTTTGTCATAAGCAGCTGTGCCACAATGGCACTTATTCCATTTCAAATGCTCCTCTGATTTACACACTTTTTGCCTGCTTATTCTCCTTTCGGGGTAGGCAGAGACAAAAGAAACAGATCCACCATCCCATGATTTGTTACAGCTCATCCCTTTTAAACAGGATGCACACAGTCATTTGAGAAAGAATTAAGAGACAAATCCCAACTTTATTCACAGTAACGAGAACAGAGACGGTTTACTCTGAGAACCAGTGAGACTTCTACCTAATCAATTTTTTTTTTTTACATGAAAGGGTGAACTTATTTGCTAAAACCAAAATATTTGGTCCATATGGTTCCATATTAAAAAGTAAAACTTCTCACAAGTGGTGGATATAGTATGAAGAAACATTCCTTCCCTTTTAACCTACTGAAAATCAAAATAAAATACACTGTCATTCAGGGAACTGCACACATACATTTACAGAACCTCTTCAAACAGTTCAAAAGCATGAAGAAGTAAGACTATTCAGAAGTATGTAACTGAGAACAACACACAAATATAGAGTGAACTGCTCTGATAAAGCTGGCTGCATCATACACCACAGCCCAGCTGTAGTTTCTTTGAGTTCAGCATCTCATTGTTGAAACACTGGCTGTGTCTGCAGCCACAGAGATAAGGACCTCTGCAGCTGAGCCAGTAAAAAGGAAGCACAGAGTATCCACATCAGAAAATTAAAATAATTTATAGGTTTGTGACAGGTTATTTATCGCCTTTGCTATGTACTTATCCAAGAACACTTAATAGAGAACTGTATGCAAACAATGCTAAACATTTAATATTTAGGACTATAGCTTCATATACAGAAAGAGAGAACATTCCAAGAGGTAGTGAAATGCATGTACTGCAAACATTTTATGGTAATTGAGGCCTCAGTAATGCTGAGAACAGTGTTGCTGATGAGTTTTGATATGACACAAAATTAAAGCCCTCCTCTCCTCATTTCTCTGCGAGATAGTCTTTGTGAACTACAAAAGTTAAGAGATATACAGATTCCTCTAGTATTGACTTGCAATGAGGCTCTGGAAAATTGTGTTACAACTGGCTCAGGTTTGATTTTTTGTTCAGGATGACACACAGATGGTTTTGGAAACTTACAGGTCCACAGTTCAAGCATTTCAACAGTGAAGAGGGAAGCGGCTGCTTTTCCACTGTGTTTCCTTTTCAGAAGTTTAAGATAAAAGACTAAGGAATTAGAAAACTAACATTGCATATATACTGTCATTACAGACTCCAAATTTGAAGGCTGTCATATAGTAGTAGCTACTACTTGTGAGTTTCCAGAACTAGAATATTTTCCAAAAAGTTCACAAACTACGCTATTAGTGATTAACACAAAGCGGCTTAACTCACCATTTTTTAGGTTTTGATAGTAGTTTGTACTTGCTGAATTTTACCCGCCACTCCAAGATACCTTTGCAATGCTGACACACTCCATCATGCAGCTTAGCATTTATTTTCTGAATAAGTAAATAAAAATTAAAATAAGAACATATTGGAGATTTCCTACTGAGTATGATCTTGCTTGGAAAGTGTTTCCACCCATCTTGTTATTAATACAGTATTTAGAAAGACATTTGTTTGATATTAACAAAAGAATTTCATATACATTTACTGCTAGTAATTTTCTTCAGTGGAAAAAAAAAGTCTTTTACCTCGAGGCAGTCTTCATTATTATTATCATAATTTTAATATTTTTAATAGTAGTACTTAATTATGTTGCCATATTGTTGCTATTGTCTTCCAAAGGAGACAACTCACAAGACTTAACATTTAACTTACTATTTCTCAAGCTAACGTTATACTACATACTTTAAGTAAGTAGTCTCAGGATTTTTTCTCAGATCACAATGAAGTAGAATCCACACATTATTTGCAGTCAGATCATTCAATGTCTCTTTCACCATAAATTTCCTTGCTGAAAAACACATTGTTGCTCTCAGGTATCTAAGATAAAATCCTCAAAATGGTCATTTAAACTATGTTTTACTTTCAAGACAAAGCAAACTGTACCTTAAGATCTTCTACAACATTTTGTGTTTAGTTCACTCAGGAACACAAAATTTTAACTGGCCAGTACCATTTGCACAAGAGAAGTTATTCTGAGATGCGAAGTAGTAGCAAACCACACTGCAACAACAAGCAATATGTACTAACAAGCAATATATATATAAAATATATTATATATATAATATATATATAATAACAAGCAATATATACTTGCACATTCAACCTACTTTTATTTCTTCTCTATCTGAAAGAGTCAGCAGTAACTTCATCTATCACACGGTTATGTGCATTCATTCAGAACTTTAAAAATAGCTATGTCACAATTTTAAAAACTGCATATAGCCAAAAAAATTCTATTTTGCCTTTTCTAAGACAGCATAAAAATGGCTACCACACCAAATTTACACTATTAACATGGTCTAAAACACATCTATATCTTCTAACACCTGAAAGTTCATTGGAACAGATTCTGCATTAATTGGGATTAGAGCTTATGTTATTCTTTTACAAATAAACTGAAAAGTTGTTCTATGTATACAGTAGCTTCTGAAGTAATTTCCTTTTTTATGACCCACAAGAGCTTCTTACTACTCCAACACACTAGGCAAAAGAACAAGCCTAGCTTTAAAAATACACTATCTTATTCTATTCTGAAAAACCTATGTGGCATAGGAAATGCTACTTACGAGTGAGACTATACCATGGGACTCGTTCTCCATTGTTTCCATTTTTATCAAACTTCAATCATTCAGTATGAGTTTTCCCATGGTACAGTTAACTGACGGTGTGCTATTTTTTGGCTGGTTCAGTTAAAAGACACTGAACTCTTTTTCAAATGATTGAATACAGACGGTGTGTTAAAAAAAAAAAAACAAGAGAAAGAAAGAAAAAGAAAAAAGGTTTTGCAGAATGCTTGAATATTGAACACAGAAAGCTGCAGTTCTGATGTCAGCCACGCATTATGAATTAAATTTTCCAAGAAACACAAACATTTGGTTAATGAGGAAACTTTCTGAAAGCAGAAAATCACTGGTAAGTTCTCAATAGATAGCTGTTAAAGGGCTGGCAATTCAAACTGCTGTCAGCACTGACCGTGTTAATTCTTTCAAAATTCATGCAATTTGAAGATAAGCCTCTATTTCAGTGCCTGACTAGCACCAAGTAAGGCTCCAAGTAGTACAGCCTGAATAAGCTTCTAATAACCTGCTAATTAGCCCCAACTTCCCAGTTCTCCCTCTCACTCTCCTGATTTGCATTAATTAATAATGCAGGAGGGGAGAAAGACACAAACACTGTAGTTTGTATTCCCAGGTGTTCTTTATTGCGATCAACTATTTTTAGCATTGCTCAGGCAGAACCCAATAAACATCAACAGACTGCAACAGTTTAAGCTAAAGAGAGCTGGCTGTCTTTCCGAAGGGAGCCAGCTTCCTTGCTGAAAAGTACCTCGCTTCCAACAATACGCCCCGACATCACGGCTGGGCACAGGAGCCCTGTTACTAAGTGATGCAGGGACAGGCTCAGCAATGCGTAATGCACTTGGAATGCAAGAGGCCCCCGCTCAGGACTGCATGTGGCGTAAACAGAGCAGAAGAACAAAATAGGAACTGCTCTCACCTCTCATCTGAAGGAAATCCAAAGTTTGTCAAACAAGCAGCCTATTACAAATTCTGCTAAATATTTGCTATAGAACAAGGAAATATGGATAATTATTATTAATGGAGCTTTATAAAGCTCTTTCCCCTCCCAATATGCTTATCATCTGGCTCCAGAATATACAACAATCATACAGTGATACATTTCTTTTTTTGTTGTTTTTTTATCAGACAAACTTAAAACAGAGGCCATCCCAAATTCCAACGATGCCAGTTCGTGTTACTCCTACTACAGATCTTTGCATGAAAACACCACCTCGCAGCAAGGCCAAGAGACTGGTCATGTGGCATGAACACTGTATTACTGGGAGTTCTTCGCCTTCGCTTCAAACAACAAAGCCCTGCAGCTTATCCGATGCCCTCCTCGCGAAGATTAGTCCTCCCTCTATATTGACACATTGTTTCACCATTGAAAAAGGTCTCTAGAAGGCAAGTAACACAGCTCCAAAGTAAAATAAAGTTAATGTAATTCAATTGCACAGGAACAATCACATTATCCACATAATGGCAACGAATCTCTACCAGAGCTGGTTTGTGTATTTAGATCACTTCTGCACCGTCACATTTGAACTGTTCAGTCTTCTTAGTATGATCAGTGACACCTCAAATATCCAGTGCAAAGATAAAGACTAAGAATATTGACCAAAATGCTGCCGAAGTGTCTTTCTGACACCAGATTAGATTGTAGCTATGAAGACCACATTTCTGTGTAACTTAAGATCCTGATTCTGGCATAAAGATACCTGGACTTTTCAGGCCAGTCACCTGTAGGACCATAAATCTTACACAGCAGCTCAAAGAAACTACGTGGTACCAGCTCAGGAGGCAACAACTGGAAGAAAGACAACAGCTGTTAAGTTCCAATTTCCTCCTTCTAACAGGCACACATGCAGCACAGTCTCTTCCTCCCCTCCAGCAACTTCCTGTATTTTTTACTCATTGTTAGCACTTCAAGTATGGGGTGGTGTAGTTAATCCTTGGCTCAGCATATCCGAGTATGAAAAAGATACAACTCTACAGTCCTTCCACCGGGCTGTTGATTTAGAAAGTTGATATAGAATGATGGATTGGTGTAAAGCAAGCAAGCAGGGAGATCTACAGACTTTAACCTTGACTTTTGTTTGTCTTCTGTGTTTCTTTTGCTCAGAAAAAATGCCTGATACTTAAACGTTACTATTACTAACAGATAATTTACTGCAGTTTTCTACGCTAAATTCACTATTTCCTTTGATCAAAAGAAAATATCATATCACTTTCAAAAGCAATGCAGACTTGAAGAAGCAAGGCAGGGTGTCCCAAATTAGACTTGGATAAGCTGTTCTTTCAGATTTTTGAAATCTCCAAAGAACGTGTGACAGTAAGCTCTCATAGCAAACTGGAAGAGAAACTTTCCTGGTATCTCAGTTCCCAGCCAAAATGGGGAAGTTATTAGTTACATAACGGAAATCTCTCTTCTGCTTACTCTTCCTATTAGTATTCACTTTTTAATGTATCTTGCACACTGTTTAAACTTTCATATATATGTATTTTCTTCCTTTCACCCACTTAATGGCTTGTTTTCCTTTAAGCATACAAAAACCCCAGCAATCCACACAAAAACCTGAACAAGGTTTATCAACTTCATTATTCCCTTCCAACGTTTCTGCTCGGCTTTTACGTGGGTAGTTAGCTCTCATACACAAACAAGTGGTAGTGCTTATGGTTGGAAACGGATTTCTTGGTGTGATAACTAACCTGACAGGTCAGATTCTGTTTCTGTCAGCAGTTTTTCCTATTATTTTTTTTACATGCTCATTTCCCTGTTTTAGTCAACAGCTCTTCCCTCTCTTCTTTTGCCATACTTCCCTCCAAGGAAAAGTGCAACTCGTCCAGCACTTGCAGTATGTCTGTGTATTGTCCAGATAAATTTCAGTTATGCAATACAGACACACACAACAGGCTTAAAGTATAGTCACAAAATATTCCATGTGTATATTATATACACACTGTCAGGTCAACTGCATCAACGAAACAGCATCCTCTGTATGCTCACGTAACCCAACATTAAATCATTTAACAAGCCACCAAAAGCAGTTCAGCATGTATTAAACACACACACCTACACCTACTAACATGACACACAAAATCACCCCTAGCTTAAGCTAGCGTTAAAGCACTCACAAGTAAGATGTAATGATGGGGTTTCAAAGCAGCCCCACTTCTTTTCAAAGAAGCCTCACTGTCTGCTTGGAAGTTTCTAATTATGTGTGAACCTATGGGTATTTTCATTTACTCTATTGGAAGTAGACTTCTACTACTGAGCACACACCACTGGTCCATTCTGGTGTAAATGAATGCAATGTCAATGTCACCCACAAACTTCCTTGTCAGAAGCACAGGCGATGCTGCTTCATTCATCTAGGCTGAACGCAGCATTTCTGAATAACTACACTTCTCAGAAAAACAAAACTCCACAGGATCTCCAGCGCATGACTACAAAGCAGTTAGAGTAGGTCAGTGCAGACTAACAAATGTGAAACCATGATACGAGACACCAGCTCTTCAGGGTTCTAACGCACTTCACAGGCTGAAATCAAGTCCCCCAGAGAGCTTCACTTGCTCCCATGCTGTATCAGTATTACTCTGAATTCCATTTTCTACACAGATATTTTCTTATATCTTTCTGAAGAGAGGTATGCTTAACATTTTAACCAAAGTCTTAAAGTCTTCTGTACATCCATACTGGTTACATATGGATGGCTACACAGCTAGCATTTAAGTCCTTTTCGTATTTCACTGCTATGGACTCTCAAACACAGGAAATCAAAAGCTTTCTGTAAGCCCAATTCCAAATGGTCATCTTGGAGACCAAGATGTTTAGTTTTTTTCAGATCAGTGACCATGGACCTGAAAATATGCAAGTAAGCAGCGTGAGAATGTACACACTTGGAAAGACCAACAGTCAGCTCCCATCCTGTTCCCCACACAGAACTGAACACGCACACACACGCTCTCTCTCTCGCTTGCTCTCCCTCTCCCTGCCCCCTGCCACCCCCCGAGTTAGGTTAGAGTCCAGAACAGATACTATGCTTGCTCCTCTTCTTAAGGCTGTAACCCAGGCCTGAACACACTGCTGAAGCCAGACTAACAGGGGTGGCTAGAGAGTAGACTTCAGCCTACCAAGCTACTCTATGCCGCCAGCAAGAACAGAAACTAACCAAACTCCAATACTGCTATCTGACAATTCCAGCTAGCCATATAGCTAACCAAAATACTGGTTTATCTGTATCTCCCCTCTGGGCTTCAAGTGAAGAAGAGAAGGCTGCGAGGGGACCTAATATATACTTACAAATATCTGAAGGGTGGGTGTCAGGAGGATGGGGCCAAGCTCTTTTCAGTAGTGCCCAGGAACAGGACAAGGGGCAATGGGCACAGGAAGTTCCGTCTGAACGTGAGGAAGAACTTCTTCACTCTGAGGGTGACGGAGCACTGGAACAGGCTGCCCAGGGAGGTTGTGGAGTCTCCTTATTCTGTGAAGTCACCATCACTAACTCAGCATTTAAGCTCTGCATTCACCTGTTCTGTTCCTACTGCCTTTCCACAGTCTTGATCAGTGTCTCCACCAAAACAAGTTATTTATCCATACAGGCAGCTGAAGAAGTAGCTGACATCAACACGATGGCAATGCTGAGGTTCAGAGTTAATAACCTCCAAAAATTAGGGAAATGTGGATTACCATCTGGGGCATCCTTAATGAGAGGAAAGAAATGGAGAAACAGATCAGTCATTTGGATGTAAATATGAATCACTTCGTGGTTTACCATCTTATTACCACGGAGTTCTAAATGTTCTCATTGAATGCTATTTGCTTTCATCTCCAGAACTACTCCATCTTCCTTACTGACTTATGTAAGATATTTTACGTAAAAATTGTATCTTCGTAACATAATGTATATTCCTCAGCTCAGTCCCACAAACAGCTGTTCTGGAATATACTGTTTAAAGCAAGCACCCATAGCATATTCCAAGACTCAATAACTAACAACGCAGCGTGTCCTACCCTGTCCTGGCTCTTCCTTCAGTACATCCTAGGATGCAAGCTTTCCCAGCACCATTCACCCAAACACAGCAGACCGGCGGTGTACTTTGCTGCAAGGGCGTTTCACCTCAACTAGCCTATCCCAGAGTAACGCTGTAGTAAAGACTGACCATTAGCGGAAAGACAGATGGATCTTTCAGTATGTTATGCAAGTAATCAGATCCATGGTCTTTAAGATTAGAAAATGGATGGCAAGGTCAGTGTTAGAGAGCACAACACTTTTCAAAAAACCACAAAATAACCAGGTAATGACTGCCAGCAGGGAAAAGTCAAAAGATTATGAGATAAATATCCTCTACGGATACTGCTTCACTGAGAGATGCAGCAATAACACTGCAAACTCAACTCCACCCACAGTACAACCTCAAGCTACCGTAGTTAATATTCAACACTGCTAATACAGTGTACAAATGCAGCAGCATGAAAATTTTAAGCTAAAATGCATTCTGCAGCCTTTCAAGGTAGTATTGCATTGGACAGTGTACAACAGTAGTCCAAGACAGGACAACTACCTAAAAAAAAATTTTAAAATTAGAAGTGATTTACAGGAGATCCACCCTCTTTCAGCAGCTCTGAGCATTCTTCTGATCTACTGAGCTAGTGAGAGGTGGAAAGGAAGAATGCCCTTCTCCTGTATCAGTCCATGTGATCAAACTCCTACGATTTCTTCCTTTCCCTCATCGCACCTTGAACGCCTGTGGCATGTCTGATCATTCAGGACTACATAAGACAGAGATGCA